AAAACAGTTTCTTATATGCAACAAAGATGGCAGCACATTTTTCTAAAAGGATTAGGCGGGAAGTTCGTTTTTACAATTAATTTTTCCAAAAATAAATAATGGTGTATTAAGTCGCTGAAGTTTGAAAATACTTGTTATACAATATTTCAGCAACTTCTTTTTTCACTACTAGTTTTCTAGAAATTCTACGACATTCCTCCAAAGTTATAAAATATTTAAAAATTGTCGAAAATAATCATTCATATCCGACTTTCTTCGGTTAGTCGCTTAAATTCTAAGAGACTAATTTTTCCGCGTAAAAGCTAGATATCTGTAGATTTGTGACTATATGAATGTCTAAATATAAATAACATTCTTCAAGAAATATTGGATGATTCTTAATTGATTTATTCAAGAGCCCTAAATGAGCCCTAAATAAGGACACATGTACATTTTCAGTTCTGAACTGTTTTCTTGAGTTTAAAGAGCTTTCGATGCCAACTTATTTATTAAGCTAGCACCAAGAAGGCTTTTTTTTAAAAAAAATGGAACATGGTTTCTTTTTGCTTCATTGCCCTAATTGAGCCCGAATTGAGCCCTAAATTCTGCCTAAGTCGTGTGTTTCATCACCAAAACTGATAATCAGGTGTGGGAGGCTGAAAAAGTTCAATGGATTTTAAAAATTTTTTAAAAAACTTTGTTTTTGATTTTTTAAAGAAAGCTCTTTTTTCAAGCTTTTTCTTTTCTTTTGTTGTAGGGGGGTCCTTTCCGGTTTCGGTACCTTCTGGTGCCATGTAGAAAGTCAATTTGAATCCCTTTCCAAAATAAAGATTCGATATCAAATTAGCAGATAGTAGTATTTGCTTGTAGCTTTTTTCAAGCTTTTTCTTTTCTTCTAAAGTTTCAGTTTATTAAACTGCAAGTTTAATGATGAATCTTTGGAAAGGAATTTCGGAAAGGGGTTCAAATTAACTTTCTAGATGGCACGGGAAGGTACCGAACCCAGAAAGAATCCCCTTACAACAGAAGAAAAACTAACCAAAAATTAACAATATTGATTTCGTAATTGTTTTACATTAAAAAAATGGTAAGGGTAGTTTTTTGGGTTAAGGGTTGCTTTTAGAAAATTTTTTCCTTTTCCATTTGAGAGCCCTAAATGAGCCTTAAATTATAGCATTTGAAAATTTTTGGTTCTGAATTATTTGTTGAGTTTATAGAGTTGTTGGTGCTAGCTTAACGTTAAGCTAGCACCAATGGACTTTTTTTTAAAAAAATGAGGAGCGGCAAATTTTTACATGTCAGCGGTAATTAGCCCTAATTGAGCCTTAAATCGTGGCACAATGATTTTTTAAAAATATTGAAGTAGTGGTGCCAGCTTAATAGACCTATACTTATCGCTGATTCAAATTTAGAGAGTAATATATTTACTTGAATCAAATAATTTTTAATTTGAATTAAATAAACTGTATTTGAACCAACAATTTCTGTGTTTGACACAAATACACATTTAATTGACTCGTATTAATAATTATTTAATACAAATAAATATTTATTTTATAATAGTCAAGATGATACCATAATTACTTTTGAATCAACAAAATTTTTTTTTATCGTACTTACCTACTATAACTTATTTAAATTGCAATAACTTCTTAGTACAATGAAAACTTGTATGAATTCATTTTTTTATACTGTAGAACATTTGTTATTGGAAATTTTTGAAAAAAAACTAACATACATTGTAAATTCAATTATATATGATGGAATCAAGTTTTATTATAATAATTTTTCTAAAGTTACCACACACACTTAAATGTTCAACAGGTGTGAATGTTGTAGTAACTATATATTTATATATATATATATATATATATATATATACTTGCGTATATAGCATTTCCTGCTTTAAGCTATATATTAATATTTATGCGATAATTTGTTTTTTTTTCTTCGCTATATCTTCATCAGCGTCAGTATCTATAAGAGAAATATTAAATTAACAAACTCGTCTTTATAAAGAATATATATTCTAATTGACATCCCACAACTATTAAATATGGATCGCGTATATATAAGAGATTGAAATTAGGTTTTTCGCGCACTATAACGCATATATATATATATATATATATATATATATATATATGTACATGAACATTTTTACTTTTCATTATCAACACGGAAATCTGACATATATATTTTTCCATTAACATACTTCCGCATTCATAAAAAGTATATTTCATTCTTATTATTATTATGATTATTTCTATTATTATTATTATTATTATTATTATTATAGTATTAGTATTATCATTGTTATTACTATTCACTACAAAAAGAAGTATTTTAAAATACATTGTACTCTCTAAATCTGAATTAGTAAAAAAGTTTACTAATTTGAATTAGTGACTTACTTTTTGCTTCTCAATTAGTAAAATTTTACTAATTATTAGTAAAATTTAACTAATTCTAAAGCAAAAAGTGAGTCACTAATTTAAATTATAGTAAACATTTTTACTAACTCAGATTTAGAGAGTAGTCACTTTTAAAACGTTTATAACATCTTCTGTAACAATCTTACAACTTAACCTAAATGCATTTTAAGATGTTTATAATATTCTTGATTATACAAAATCATGAAATCAGTATTTTAGAAAAAACTTGTTAGATTTTTGTGAAACAAGTTATACTCGTTTGTTTTTGTGATATCAGATACGTATTCAGCGAGCAAAAAAAAAAAACAAACGAGTAAATAGTTTCACAAAAATCTAACAAGTTTTTTCTAAAAAAACTGATTTCATCCCTTAAAAATTTCTTTAAAATAGGCATATCATTATATTTATAGGTTAGAAATTCGTTTCAGTAAAATTTCCTTTTTTCTCAATTTATTAATATTGCGTATAAAATGTGAAATATTTTAAATTTCATGTAAAAGATTCAAAAATTATTCTATTTTGAAGAAACTTCACTGCAAAAAGAAGTATCTTATTTTAAGATGTTTTGGTCGCCTTTTTAAGATGTTTTTTACGATTTGCTTAGATTCTTAGACTCAAAAACCGTTTGTTTCCTGACTTTTAAACTAGCCTAAGCTTTTTGAGGTTATGTTCATGACAATATAAATCAATTGAAAACAGGACCCTATCAAAAATTGACTATACCCAGAGAAATGATATATTTGTTTGAAAGCCTAATAAATATTTATTTGATTGAAATAAATTTTTATTTGATTTAAATAAAAAATTTTTATTTACGCCAAATAAATAGGCTAGTAAGTTGTGAGACCAATATACGTTTATTTAATTCAATTATATTATATTTGGTTTAAGTAAAACATTTCTTTGGGTGTACTAGCGCAGTAATGGCGCAGTACTGGTACCATTATCGCACCAATAGTGCGAACTCTGTCAATTTTTGCTAAGATCGAAATAAGATACATCGCAGTGAAAAAATATAACAAGTTTAGTCGATTTTAACATATCATTTATCATATATATATATATATATAAAAGAGTGAAGCACAAACGTCCGGCGAGGGTGCAGTGACCATTTCCAGTCGGAATGCTTGATCTTCGATCGGCTAATTAATTCCGAGACTATATCGAAGCACGATCTCAAGTGCTTCTGGAGAGAACAAGCGTGACTTATTTACAGTGGCTCGACTGTATAATTGCTTCACTGTGTCAAGGACAAATTGTCTATATATATATAGACAAATATAGAGAGTGTTAAAAGAGAGTGAGAGAAAAAGCTTCGTTTTTTCTCTATATCTAATTTATATATATATATATATATATATATATATATGTTCACAATCAATGTTTATGTAAATCACTAAACTTTATTATTTATATATGTATATGTATACGCAATGCTTAACACACATGAACGCAATAATTTTCGCGGCGTAATGCTTCTCCTCACGTTACATATATTACAACTCTACTTGCGAATTGCGAGACACACTTTGATCCGCTCGAGATCCTCTTACATTATTATCTTGCGTATTACAGTCACTCTGCATTATAACTTCTTTTTTTTTCTTTCTCTTAGTTTCGTTTTTTTTCAATTTTACTTTCTCTCAAGCTTTGATTTTATTATTATTATTATTATTATTATTATTATTATTTTTATTATTATTAATATTATTATTATTATATTATTATTATTATTGTATTATTATTATTATTTAGTACTATATATTTTAATATTTATTTCACCAAAAATACGGAAATTCAAGTAGAACGTCCGAAATATGACATAGCTTTATATTTTTTACACCTGCTTCACCCTGCTTTTCTTTATTCTAGTTCCCCGTCATGTATCGAAAAAAAGCTACCATTCCCTGCAAAGTGTCATAATTCAGATGTTCCACTGATTATTTTAGATTGTCAATAATATTTTGACATGATTATTAACTTAAAAAATGATTATTGTCAAGAATATATAATAATAATATAATATAATGTATAATATAATATATAATATAATTATTTATATATATATAATATAATAGAAGATATTGTTAAATTTGGATTTTAGTTTTTTCAGTGATATACATTGCAAAAAGAAGTATTTTATATTTTAAGATGTTTTGGTAGCATTTTTAAGACATCCAAGACATCTTAAACATCTAAATGTCTTAAAAACGCTACCAAAATATCTTAAAATAATATACTTATTTTTTACAGTGTAGTATTATATTGTTCTTGTTATTATGTTTACATTGCGTTTTTGTTTTAATTAATTTTAATATTCAACAATTTGAAAACGCATTTAATTTTTTCTTTTGTGTTGGATTTAACAGAATTTATGAAATAATAAATATACAACATGGGAGTGTTTTGAATCCCACGGTCATTTGCCCATACTAATTATTTCGGCCCTCCGAACTTGAAATCGCCAATTAACTGCATCCGATGCGAACGACCTTGAACCTCGCGCAAACAACTTAGAAGCCTTATTTCTATATACCATAAGTTTAAATAATAATAATAATAATGTTTTAATTTTTATTTTTTCAGAAATTGCCAAGGTTCGCGCGAGTCTCTTTCAAATAAGTGGTGTCAAAAAAGAACCACTGATTTTACCAGAACCAGATGGAGATGTCACCACACTCACAGAAAAAGTATATGTACCTGTTAAAGAACACCCAGATGTAAGTAATAGTATATTATTTTTAAAAAAAATATTTAAAATCAATAATTAAAATTTGATTCCTTTTCCGTAAAGTAACAAAATGAATGAGATCCATACATATATAGGATAAGTGCATCAATTACGGCGTGTTTATAAAAAATAGCTATTATTACTATTATATTTAATATAACTTGTTGCAAAATGATTCAAAAAAATTCATTTTAATCTTTTTTACAATTATACTAATAAAGATGTACATTTAAACAATTATTAATTTAATTATTTGAAATCAAATTTTTTCCCTCGCCGTAATTGAAACATCAGGGTGTCTACTACACTGAAAAAAATTCCTAACCCCCGTATGCCTAAATCGACTTTGACAATATTAACCAGTGTAGTCTGGAAGTCCTGGAATTTGAAAAAATGTCCTAGAAAGTCCTGGAATTTTAATTTTTGTGCTTTAATTTTTTATATTTTGCTTTTAAATTTTCAAAAATTTATAATTTTGTCAATCAAGTTAAAAAAAAATTAATTAAATAAGTAAAATGACACGTAACTTAAGTTACGTAATGTAATGTTTATTAATGTTTTCGGTAATATTTATTAAAATTATTTTTTTAATTGAATTTCTGCCAACAATAGTTAAACTAAACATTATTTTATTCCTTAAGGTCATCCAATTTAGTGTTCTGGAAAAATAAGAAATTCGTCCTGGACAGTCCTGGAATTTTAATTCAGATTTTTAGTAGACACCCTGAACATTTTTAAGATTTCCATTTGCTTCAATTACGGTGGGGGCAAAGTATCTTCAAAATACACGTAATTTTGGTCACCGTAATTGAAACACCAAAATTGATAAAATCGCGCCCTAATTGAAAATTATTGTATTAGTTTTAATTTCTCATAATTTGTTTAAATAATCGATTTTAATAAAGCTAAATTTTTTTTTAATATCTAAATAACATAAGCCTTTAGGTTTAATAAGTTTTAAATTGACTTTATACAATTAGAAATGTCAAATTTTCTATTTCAAAAATGTTTTGACTCGAATCGCGCCGTAATTAGTACATTTACCCTAGAAATAACTAATTTTCATATGCAAAATCAAATGGAACAATCACCTGACTGATTTACATGAAATTGAATACATATGTATATATCAGTGTGTATATATACCGAACGTTATACATGCATACATATATATATATATATATTTTAAGATCCAAGTAATAAAAGATGCATTTATGAAATATACATGTCATATTTTCTTCTACCCGCATGTAATCATTGGGAATCGTGTATTAGAGATTTATCATTGAGGGCAATCGTAAATTATGCGCGCGGCTGAGATTGGCCCGTGAACGGAAAAGAAAAACAATTTTATTGCAAAACTGATGCTAAGTACCACTTGCTCGATTTGCAATATACTCTTATACTCTCTGTAAGAGTCCATTAACTTTGCCTTGCATATATATATATATGATATTCTCATGTTACTTTACGGAAGAGATTTTATATATCTATATAATAGAGAGACAATTTCTCATTATAATTATTGAAAATCTGTTAACTTAATATCCTATAGAAGATGTTTAGATTTGAAATCAGCAATGATACAATTTTTGAGATGAAAACAATTGATTTTGAATGACATTTAAAATTAGGTACAATATTATAGGTTTCTACACAGAAAATTATAAGGTATTAAAATAAGCTGCAACGCTTATTATTTTAATCCAATTATGCTTATTTTAATACCAAAATGGATTAAAATAAGGAAAATTTGATTAAAATAATAAGCGTTGCAGCTTATTTTAATGCCTTTTAATTTTCTGTGTAATCAAAAATTTGCTAAACAACAATAGCAATAGCTTAGCCTGCTAAGGTAACGTTTACTACCATGGTAACGGTTCCTATGGTAACGGTTGCTATGGAAATTGTTACGTCACGGCATGGAAATAAAGGTTAAAAGAAAAACTAAAAGTTCGTCACAAATATTTCTAATTGATTTCGCAACATATAAATAATTTATTATAAAGAATAAAAAAAATAATTAAAGAAAAATCAAGAACTTAAGCTCAAAATTTAGACAATTAAATTTATATCCTTTATTATATATTGTATTCTATTCTTCGGGTGGCTAAAAAATAGAATTTGTGGGATCTTGTTACTTACTAAGAGTTGAAATTCACCTTATTATTGTTATTAGAGGAATAAATGATAAAATAGAAGGAAAGAGAAAATAGATTAGGTTGAATTAAAATTTTTGTTCATTTTCCAAACTTACGCATACAATGAGATTTCTCGACGAAACACATTAATACACAAAATTCACATATAAGAACAATTAAGAATTTTATTGATAACTACAAAATCTATAAACCAGAAGGGTAAAATTATAAAATTAATAAGTTTAAAAAGAATACAAGTTGACAAGATAAAATTTCAATGAATATAGAAGTTAAAGTAAAACGGTATATTCACGAAACGGAGATTAGATCCTATCCTGAACCAAATATTAATTCCGAGGATTTATACGGTTATAGGAAATCACTGAGATTTGGACATGCTACAAATCTTAAGTTCGAATCTTTAACAAATAGGAATTATATACAGTGATAAGAGAGCGTGTTTTCAGACCAAATCTCGTTGAAAATCCTAAGGTCGAACCTCAAGGAATTATTGGTTCAGGAAGGGAACCAATTCCGAATTTCGCAAACAGGGACCGAAAAGAGACTGATTAAAAGAAGTTGGACGACGCTCCGGGTAACCGCGTCGTTCATTCCCACTCTCAAGAAAACTTGCAAAAAGTTAAAGGTGGAGGGAAAATTTTGGAAAAAGGAGAAAATTAAGGTTTCTGATTTGCTGAAAACAACATAAAAATCACGCCCTAAAAATAGAAATTGAGTATTAAAAACCCTTAGGGTCCACTTGGACCAGGTACACGCTGAGGTGGAGGTGCAATAAAACATTTGTCCAACAAATGTTTACGCTATGTGCGGAGTTGGGCCCCTTGCTTTTTTGTCTAATTGTAATTTTATTGCAAGGCAACACAATCGCACACTTTTAAGGAATTGTCATTTCTGAGAATGCAAGATCCTTTATTGCACTTGTTCATTTTAGATGTTTTATTTATTGAAATCTTAAAATTTAGGGATTAACATCCTTATGTGTATCAATACTCTTTCTAGTTTAGGCGTTTTTTCTATTGAAACAGCTTTATGGTATTTTTTTATTAAAAAGGATTTTGCGTGTTTTCTGAAAATGTGAACGAAAAAACCCAGGAACCAGATTGTCGAATATTTATTCTTCATGGTTGAATGATAAATTAAAATGTTGAAATTCTAAAGATGTGTAAAAATTGTATAAAAGAATAAATTGAGTAAAAATAATATTAATATAAAATAAGCAGAAATAATAAAATATAATATTCATTCAATACAACATTCTTTTACACGGGGAAAACATTCTTACATACACAACAATACATAATTAAAATATAATTACATCTTAAATTAGGACATTCTGAATCCCTCATCCTAAGACAAATTTCAAAAAGAAAAGTGTGAGGTTTTGACATACTGGGACGTCACAAAATGAATTCTGTAATAACGGTTGCTATGGTAACAGTTGTCATGGAATACTATGATAACGGTTACTATGGAAACGGATACTATGGTAACGGTTCCCATAACTATGTTATGTAAATTCTATTTAAAAACAAAGCAGTAATTTTTTTTGACCTTTTAATTTATTTAATTTTTTTTTTTTTTGAGTTTTGACATTGAATTTAATTTATTATTTTTAAAACGAAGAGAAAAATATTTAATTTAATGATTTTCTCTTTTAAAATTATTCCCTTGATATATATATTATTTTGAAGCGCGAATATATGTTGGAATGTTGAAAGTAGAGCAATAAACATATTATTTCATGAAGAGATGCCGAAATTCTCATGAAATTGATGTTGATGTTCCTCATAATATATATAAGAGTGCGCAAGGATAGCTGAAAAAATTTTTCATGGCAAAATAGTTTTTGGTAAGTGAAAATGTCGAATTCACTCGCGTATATGTCAGATATCGATATCCAAACGATAACATCCTGCTCTGCCAAAAGCCTTCACACACACACACAGACACAACCTCGTTATTATAACTCTCGTCGAGGGTTTATAAAGTCGGCAATAGAAAATTGGGGAGAGAGAGTTAGAGTTCTTCGTCAGGGATTCTATTTTGAGCGTGCCAAAAATAACAGCTGACTGTACACACATTTCGAACATGCTCAACACTATATACCCCCGCATCAGAGACTCTTTCTCTCTCTCTCTTTGGATCATTATAAAAAAAAGAATAATAAAAATAAAAAAAAAAAAACCTCTTCGAAAACTACGATTCCACTTCCGTCCCATAAAAATGTATTTTATCTTCTTTGCTTGAAACTGTGTGTGTGTGTTTTTTTTCTCGTATGTAAAATATAACCCCCCTTGAAAATGCCCTCCCCTAAGGAAAAGAATATAAACTTTTTATAAAAATACATGTACGACTGTCGGTTATAATTTTCAAAGTTGACAAGGCGTCGAACTTTAATTCCATATATACTTATGCGTTCTATATGCTTTACAAATGTCATTCCAACAACAAAAATCAGGAAACATTTTTCTTCTGTTATACTTGAACGTAGTGGGAGATGTTCATTTTAGAGGGGTTTTTTTTTATCATCTGTTTCAATAAATAATAAATTACAGAAAAAAATAAAAATTTTCTAATTTTGGGGATGTCTGACTTTGTTACCTATATATTATGTTTCTTGAATCTCCGAATTCGAGGTTTGTTTAACCCCATCAGATCAGGATTTTGATCCCTAAATTTGAGATACGAATTTAAAAAAAAAATGTTTCTAATCTGGGGGTCTGAGAATGTTTACTATATGTTTTTAGGGTCGATGAATCCAAATCCGAGTCGCATTTAACCACATCACTTCAGGATTCTGCCATAACCTCAAAAAAAAAAAAAAAAA